GCGAGGCTCCCCCCCCCCTCCTCCCCGACCGCTGGCCTCTTAGGGAGTCCAGTCATGGAGTCCAGCCATGGCTGAGGTAGCCGCCATGGGTCAGATCCAAGCCGCGGGGGGAGGGAGAAAACCGGATAATCCATTTCAATTGGAACGGATTAACCGGTTTTCAATGCATTCCTATGGGAAATGGTGCTTCACATAACGATGTTTTCACATAACGCTTTTTTTTTGAACCAATTAACATCGTTATGCGAGGTACCACTGTATTTTAACACTCTATACATGTACAAATTAAAACCCTGATACCTCCACTTTCAAAAGTTCTTAATTTTAAAACAGCTACAGCTTATATGAGTACACCAACCAATCAAACAGAAAAACATGGAGTTGTAGAAGGTAATGATATTCAGTGAAAAAGTCAGTCTAGTGTAAGGCTAGGCTGACTTTGCAGCCCTCAAAACTATTTGATAGTTCCCTCCCTTTTGACTTTTTGGGTCAAAAGTTTCTGTCCCTTGTTTTCTAAAAAAACAAGCAAACAAGCAAACAATTTTTGCTCCTGGAGGTTTTACACTATCATCTCTGGCATGGCTTCTCTAAGTCCCTCCCTCCCAAAAATCTAAAAAATGAAAATGAAAATGCCTGTCCACATACTTCCTGTGTTTCCCCCCCCCCCAAAAGGGTGCTAAAAATGTCTATATATAGGAGTTATGCAGCCCACAGGGGAATCTAGGAGCAGAAATTTGGCTCCCAGGTGCACAGAGGTTGCCCTTCCTGGTCTGAGGTGTAGACTTCCATGTGCAATTCTGTACCACCTTCCTTAAAACATTAACAAGGTTGCCAATGACTATTAGAACATCAGCATATCAATAATCAATGAGAACTGTGAGAGTATTTAGACAGATATTTGTCTCACATTTTGGTACACTTCAGGAACAGCTTGGTTCATTGTTTTTTTTCCTGGTGATCATATGATGTAACTGCTGGAGTGAACCAGACCATCCACAGAGCCTCCCTTCCCACATCTTTCTGAGGCTTCTGCTTTTTTGGTGCAGGAAAAATGTCTCTGGCGTGATCCATTTCCAGGCCATGTGAATGCTGGGAATGAACCAAAAGCGAGCCTCCCAGCATCTGTTTTGAATTTCCAATAATCCAGAAATTCAAAATAGAAAGAGCTGGACCAAATAGGGCCACTTGAGCTCTGATATGCCATTTGGATGTGAGGATCACTCTAAATGGCATATTCCCCTTCCACCTAGTCCCAAGCAACCCTATCATGCCCATACCAGCCTGCTCTAAAATGAACAGCATAGACAAGCCCCACAGAACAACATTTATCAGTTTTTAATGGCCATGCTGGCTGGAAGATTCTGAGACTTAAAATTCCTGGGGGAACATTACATTTCCAAACTCTTGTCTGGAAGTACGATGAGTTTCATTAAAACTTTACACCTGCCCAGTTAAATGTGCATAGACTCCAGCTGCACATCTTTATATTCACCATGGGGTGGCTCACAGGGATAGAACTTCACAAACTCAGGAAAAGAGGATCAAGTCACCATGTCCCCATTTTACACAACATACATCACTCACTGTGTCCACCCTCGTATGCATATTTAACTGAACCCATATGTTAAACAGTTCAATTCCCTAAAAACGTCTTTCACATTGCCTCTGATTTATGCTGCTACCTTCCATGCAGGCAGTGGCCCATATGGATACCACTTTAGTTATATATCAATTTTGTAAAACAAGAGCAACAGCAAAGGCTAGGGGAAGGAAATAATAAAGAGAGACACAGAAGTCTGTTTGCATTGTCAGTTGCAATTAAGGCACCAAGTCCAACACAAAGAAATAATAGTTAACTGCTGTTTAAAGAAGGAAATATACAATACATTAAAAAAAACCTGAGCCTGATTTAGAAGTCTGGTACAGTATTCTCCATTCACAGACAGGGCACTGAATATGTAACTGTAGATCAATGCAATAGTGCCTACGATTCGACTTAGGCATTCAGGTTTTGGGCTCTCGTGGCTAAATCTAACCTGTAGTTTGTTGCAATGTTGATGAAAGAGGTGCTGGAAGAGACCACTAAAACAGGTAGCCAGCGATGTGCACCAGTTGCGGTAAGGAGGAAAGAAGCAGATAAATAGTCCCACACGTTTCCCCCTCTCATTTTTCCCCATCTACATTGAGACGGTTAGGCTTCCTTTCACCTTTTCTCTCTCTGAGATCACTTCCAGCTTCTTCCTAATTCCACTTTAGTATAACAAGTTTAAAAGATCTTTCCTCATATACTGTCCTTCTTTGGACTTTCTAGATAATCAACGGTAGGTATTTACTGCTGTATAATAAAAGGACCTTCACTATTTTCAACAACAAACATTGTAGTGCTTTAGCTCTAGAGCTGAAAAGTGTCAAAATGTAATTCCCGTGACACAGGTGTGATGCTTGGAATCTAGCAGCATAGTAAGGAGGTGAGGAAGCAGTTGTATCAGGTCTATAAAGGGGCTTGTATGTGCAATTTTAATAAGCACATACAGTATCTTTGTAATATATAGATATTGAAATATTCTGAAAATCAACTATTTACTTTTTTCTAAGGAAGAATAAATGAATCCTTTTCTCTTCTTCAAAAGCCAGTTATGGCTTTTGACTATATGACTGCCTCTACAATAGATTCATTTCCTTGCACAATTAAAAAATATATAGGAAAAACATTTCTTAACTGGGCAATATTTCACTTATGGATATTCTAGCACTGGGCAATTTATTTATTTTTCTTCCATTTAAAGTTTTAAAAACTTTTTTTTTACAATTTTTGGTTGTTTCTTGGTTTGAGTGTTTGAAAATCAAATGCATATCTTTGCCAGCTTCATCATGGCACAAATGAGAATGTGTAAAGTTTTACAAACATTTGTGAGCTGACAGCTGTCAACGCCACATAGAGAATTTCACACCATCCTGTCAAGATGTGAAATTTTGAATATGTAGAGTGTTAAAATAATTAAGAAAAGTGTAGAACAAGCAGAAATGGAAATATACATAGTATTTTTAAAATGAGGTTTGAACTGCAGTTTACTAAAAGCCACTGCAAAACAATTAGACAGCTCTCCAGCTGTGTCTAGAAGCAAGGTCACTATATAATAACATTCCTGTCAGTTGAACATGTTTACAAATGAGACCTGTAAGCAAAGGACTGGGTCGAAAGTGTATTCAAATAACAGTTTTTTAATATATAAAGTATTAACATGACAGATCCAAGGTTTTTCAGATCCTGTGATTTGCTTTGCTGTATTTTACTAGACCCCTGTAAGTTTTGACCTACTGAAATCTATAGGCTCTGAAAAAAATGATGCTTATCACCATGGAGGCAGCTTGTCAGATTCTGATTTGCAGGAGCTATAAGATTAGAAGTAGTACATGTGATAAAAATTTTGATTATAAAAATGTCCTGGTGATTCAGGATCCTGTAGTTATAAGCCTAGCAGAAGGGAAGATCCAAACTGGTTTGGCTGGGTGAACACTTAGAATAATTTTCTATGTGTCATTTATAATATGCTTACAGGCTTTGCTCAAAGTTATAATGCTTTTTATTTTGAAATTATGTGTTTTAGAGTTGTATTCTCTGCTTTTTCAATGTGTCTTTCGAGGTTATAAGCTCTTGCATTTTAGAAATGTAACTGAAACATTCTTTTTACATATTTTTATTGTATTTTTTCTGCTCCTGTGTTTTGGATTGAATTCTGACTTAAGTATTTGCCTGTAAGTTAACTTTAGTTTGCATATATTTTTAAGCATCTGTCCCTACAGATTTTTCCATAGCTGCAAGCCTTTTATAATTTTATAACAACTTTGAAGGGGTTTTATTTTGTGCTTATGGAACATAGAAGCAAAGTAGATAAATAAAGCTTGTATAATTCGACAATCTGATGTTGCCTGGAATTATTGCAAGAATGAAAAAACTTTGACACCCAAATGAATTTTGATATGATTGGAAATGATTGTCTGATTTCATTAACTCTTTTGAGGGATAAATACCAGCTGTGATTAACACGGGCTTCTGATTTTTCCCTAGTGGTCTATAAAGTTCTGCAGAGCTGTTAGGAAAATGTTCAGGCATCAGACTCTCTGACCTGACAATCTCCTCCAAAAGGTTCACTGATCCCAAAAACAACAGTGTGTTTCTCTTTACATGAATGCTTACATTTGTATCTTTAGATAGATGATTTATTGGAACATACGTTTTGTTTTATCCAACAGAATGTCTCCTACTATTGAAAAATGTATTAGGGTGTGATCATGCGGGGAAATAAATTGCATTCCATATCTCTTGTGGAGTTGTCCAGGGTGATCTGTTTCCTAGCAATCACATGATGTGTAGGAAAATGTGCTCTAGCCTGACTCCAATCAGAGCTCATGCTGGAGCTATAGGGCTATTAATTTTTGGGACCAGACTGGAGGAATTCCCTGACAGATTGAAGGGCTGCTTTAAGGGGATTTCTCCATTTACGTGAATCTTTCTGATATGTTCAGGTGCACACCTTTCCAGCTGTCTAACTACACCCTTGATGCACATACCCTTAACACAGGTACATACATGGAGAGGGAAAGAGAGAGAGAGAGAACGAGGACTCAGGAGACCTAGCCTTGAATGAGTATGACAGAATGCCATGGTCAGACTAGACATCCCAGCAGGAGATTCTGGAAGCTGTCATTGAAAAAAAAATTCTGTATTGTAAATAGCTCCCCGTGGCAGTTCTCACTGCATTAATCAGTTCCCTAAAGCAGACTGTGTGATCTTCATCACACCACTGCAAACATATCTTGGGGTGGGAGTTTGCACTAACATAGAGGAATGACCCTTATCCATGAAGTGAACAACTACACACTGAAATATCTCACCAGGCCTTGACATCTGCCACTTCCAGTTGTCAAAACTGGATTCCATTGATAAATCAGCCCTATTATTTGCCGCTGTTCATCAGCTGTTTTTTCTAGTATGGGAAATATTAAAGGCACAGAGATGAAAGTGAAGTAAAAAGTAATAATCACTATCTAAGACTCTTAGGAAAGAATAAACAGGACATTCCTAGTAAAACAACAAACTACTAAAACGACATAACAAAACATTCCAAAATAGTAAAAGCAAGTAGGCTGGTGGCAGCTCAGGCAGCACCTATGGCAAGCGCAGTCTCTGCCTTGTTCTGTTGATCTGCATCAGTGTGTTGTGTCTCTGGGTCAGGGAAAAGCAATTAACCCTTTTGCAGAGCCTTACCAAGAGGAGAGACAGAACTCATTGGCTCTAAAGTAGGTCATACATCCAGGTGAGGTCCACTTCAGTTAAGACAAGCATGTTAACTTCATAATGGCTGGAATGTAGATCCCGCCATATCCCAACACCTAGGATAAGATTTAATGTCAATGGCTTCTGGCTGATCTTGCTTCTTTTGAGTCACATTTAGGACTTTTTAATGGGGAGGGGTAAGGATAGACCTGGAGTGGAGAATATATTTTATCCTCCAGATGTTTTGGAGTTACGTTCTGAAACATCTGGAGGGGCAAAGGTTTACTGGATTCATTTATAGTACTTTTTGGTACACTGGTTAATTTACTCAATTCACTGCAAATTGTTGATAATCAAATATGTTGTTATTGTATTTTTATTGAAAAGCCAGAAGTGGGGCACTTGTGGGATTTTTGCCTTAGGAACCACTATAATTAATGTGCTTATTTTTTTGGAGTGGGATATTTGCTGTCCTGTGTCATGCCTTGGGACAGCCCGGTGCAGATCATATACATCCCCCAACTGTCTTCCTTACTGCTCCATCTCCCAGCTGACTAAGATTTGGAAACAGCTGAAAAGAGCACCCTCTGGCATGTTCTTCAACTGTGTTTGGCTCTATTTGATTGGGCAGCAGGAGAGCATTTACAAAGAAGTCCCATTATGTGATGGCAAACCTATGGCATGCATGCCACAGCTGACACACACAGTCCTCTCTGTGTGCACACGAGCCATTAGTTGCCATAGAGAAATACTTACCCACCCTCCAATCCCGGATTTTGGCACTCCCCTCTGCTGGTGCAGTGGTCTAGCAGAGGGGTGCAATGGCGACCATTACTGGTCTAACCCAGTGGGGGTTTGGAGGACCAGTAAGTATTTCTTTGTTAATCCCGCCCATTGGGGGGGGGGCAAGCATTTAACCCTTGCAGTGCAGGAGCAGTTATTTTCTCTAAACTAAAACCTCAGCATTCAGGTTTTAATTGCAGTATGGGCACTTTGAAATAAATAAGTTGATTTTGCGTTGCAGTTTGGGCACTCAGGCTCAAAAAGGTTCACCATCACTTCACTACCCTATGCAGCTCTGGAAAGCAGAAAGGATGCCCACTCAATCTATATTGTAGATACAGAAGGACATAAGAGCGTCATAAGGTCCCTTGTGAAACAAAGTGTATATTCTTCTATACCAGATTCTAAGCACTGGGGAAAATATTTAATGTCTCTTTATTAACATTTCAGTTTTGCTTTACAGCATAGTAAAAGGCAAGATATATTTATTTGGAGGTTGTTCAAGCAAGAATGCTGAATGCTGCCTTCCAGGAATCTATACATTTGATCTTGGTGAGTAAAAGATATAAAATTAGATTGCCAGGGATTTATAGTTCATTTAGTTAATAGCAAGTCAAAAGGGCTCTCGCTGGTGTTACATAAGTAGCATTTGTTATCTTAATTTATTACTGCTTAGAATCAACCATGTCAGCTTATAACAATGGCATCTGATGATGCCATCCTGGCCTGAAAGTAGCAAACTTGTCTTAGCAATAGTATCTTTACCTCAACAGTGCTTGGGAATTTAACTAACTTTGGTTACAGCTGTAATCCCTTCGAAAGTTATAAACTTTGAACTAAAAAGCTTCGTTCGTTCGTTCGTTCGTTCGTTCGTCCGTTTAGTCGTTTAGTCGTGTCCTACTCTTCGTGACCCCATGGACCAGAGCACGCCAGGCCCTCCTATCTTCTACTGCCTCCTGGAGTTGTGTCAAATTCATGTTGGTTGCTTCGCAGACACTGTCCAGCCATCTCATCCTCGGTCGTCCCCTTCTCCTCTTGCCATCACACTTTCCCAACATCAGGGTCTTTTTCAGGGAGTCTTTTCTTCTCATGAGATGGCCAAAGTACTGGAGCCTCAGCTTCAGGATCTGTCCTTCCAGTGAGCACTCTTATTAGGCATCTGACTTGTCCTCCATGGTTTATAATATTCTTCTGGTACCTTTATTTTATATTCTGTTCCTGGACAACTGGAGCTAATTTTGCACAGATATATTATGCCATGGTTGAACGTATGAACCATGAATAGCATTTGATTAAGTCTATTGCCATGGAGCTCTGAGGCTTGCTTTCCTGTGGCACCTACAGAAGGTACAGGAATGCAGTGTATTGAAAACAGCTCCTTTTCATATATATCTTCCCTTGGTGAAGGTGATTTGGCTCCTTAGTTAGAGTCCCTGCTGAGAACATTCCAAATCAAAGGCTTACTCAGTGCTGAATGCCAGTTCATAATGCGCCATATTTTAAATCCTACTTCAGACTGATTAGTTCCAGAAGGTAAAACACTTCAGTGCACACAGCCTTATTTTTTTGATAGTTACATGTTTTTTTACAGTAAAAAACAAATACTTTCTGAAGGGCAAATGTTCATTTCCCCAGACCTGTGCTGTGTTCTAAGTGTGGATGGTTTAAAGAGGATTTTAGAGAATCTCTCAGACTCATCCAAATGGCTCTCATTTCAAGAGCATGATTTCAACATTTTTTACCAGCAGTGACTTACCGTATGAGCCTTCCCCAGTTTTTAAGATCTTAAGGGGAGGCGTTTCTCTCAGCTCTGCGATCCTCATAAACACACTTTGTGTGGAAACAAGACCGAGGTTTTTTTGTTGGCCGCTCTCAGGTTGTGAAACATCTCTCCATGAGAGACCAGGCTGGCTCCCTCTTTGCTGTCATTCTGCCAGCAGGCAAAGACCTTTCTTTTTAAGCAGGCTTTTAATAACTAAATTGCTGCCAGAAAGGAGTTTTAATGGGAGACTAGCTGGATAGCTCTGTGAGTTAGGTGTCTGCCTGCAAAGTCTGAGACTGAGAATTTGATTCCCCAGTATGCATCTTGGGGGGGGGGGAGGCAGCTTCTATAGCCTTGGGCAAGCTGCACAAGAGGCCACGTAGAAAAAGGGAACGGTAAACTACTTCTGAGTACTATACGTATACCTTGTTTCCCCGAAAATAAGACCTAACCTGAAAATAAGCCCTAGTATGATTTTTCAGGGTGCTCATAATATCAGCTCTACTCCAAAAATAAGCCCTAGTTAAGTGAAATCCCGCCCTCCGCCATTCGGCAGCAACCAGAAGAAGATGACATGACTGTATTTAAATAAATGTAGATTGTTGTACATGAAAAAAAAACATCCCCTGAAAATAAGCCCTAATGCATTTTGGAGCAAAAATTAATATAAGACCCTGTCTGATTTTTGGGGAACATGGTACCTAGAAAACCCTGAAAAGGGTTGCCGTAAGTCAGGCTTGACTTGATGGCACCTAATTATTATTGGTTTTGTTTTGTTTTTTGAATCTTTTAAATTTATCTTTAAGTTATTTTAAAGTGATTTTATTTAGTACTTGTATTTCCGATCACCATTTATGGGTGTGAAAGCTAGACACTAAGGAAAGCTGATGGGGGGGGGAATGATTGGTTTGAAATGTGATGCTGGAGGAGAGCTTTGTGGATACTTCGGTCATTCAAAAAGACAAACAAGCGGGTCGTAGAGCAAATTCAACCTGAACTATCTCTGGAAATAAAAGGTTGAAACTGAGGTTGTCCTCCTTTGGGCACATCATGCGAAGGCAGGACTGTCTGGAAAAGACAATGATGCTGGGAAAGGTGGAAGGCAGCAGGAAAAGAGGAAGACCAAATATGAAATGGACTGAGTCCCTAAATTGAGTGTACAAGACCTGAGCTGGGCAGTTGAGGACGGGGCATTTTGAAGATTGCTCATTCATAAGGTTGCCATAGGTCAGAGATGAATTGACGGCACATAGCAGCAATTATGAATGTGTTTAATTTTTATGTTATAATTTATTTACTTTTGCTTTTAAAATTATGTTTAAGCTATGTTGGGTCACTCTTGGGAGAAAGGTGAGCTGTAAGTTATGCAAATAAATAGATATAAATAAATCTTTAAAATATCCAATTTATGGGAGACATGCAAGGATCTAAAGCACATATCTACTTTATAGAACCTTTTAAAGGTGAACTTTGTGTTGTATTCTAAAGAAGAGGGAGAATAAGGAAGTATATTTCCCTGCCAGCACATTGAGAAACAAGTGGGAACTAATTCATAATTATTTCCTTTTCTTAAGGTTCTTTAACTTGGGAGAAGATAACAACCAATGGTATTGCACCTCAGACTCTCAAACATAGCTCAGCTGTAGTAGGTGAAAACATCTACATATATGGTGGCATACAGTGTGGAAAAGCTGTTGATGACCTCTATGTGTTCAATACAGGTGAGTATTGATGGGTAGTCAAGCCAAAATGATACAACAATGTGGCCTGCATCCAGTAAACAAATACAGTGGTACCTCGCAAGACGATTACCCCTCAAAACGACAAATCCGCATGATGATGAGGTTTTGCGACCGCCATTTTGCTTTGCAAAACGGTGGTTCCTATGGGGGAATTTCACTGGACAACTATTTGGTCCGTGCTTCGTGGACCATTTTTTCACAAGACGACGATCTTTACAGCTGATTGTCGGCTTCACAAAATGGCTTCCCTAGGGGCAATTTTTGCTGGACGATGACGATTTTTCCCTATTGGAATGCATTAAACGTGTTTCAATGCGTTCCAATGGGGAAACGCTTTTCACAAGACAATGTTTTCGCAAGACAGCTATTTCAATGGCACGAATTAACATTGTCTTGCGGGGCACCACTGTACAGATGGAAACATGTAGAGGCTGCCATTTAATTTTTCATTGTTGTCTCACTATGCAGCATATTATCTTTGACTGGAGAAGTTGGGCCTCATTACTTCCTGATATAGTCATTTATTTAATATGCCAAATTTCATATTTGCAGGCTTTTAAATGGTTGGTGTTAGGTGTGTACTTAAGAACGAAAGAAACCACTGTTCCTGTGGGGAAGGACTTTGTTGTGGCTTTGACTATGGTTTAATGCTCATACAATATGATTAAAAAAAAATTTTAAATCAATTTGAGTAATGAGGTGTTTTCTCACCCCAATGAAAAGTTCAGTGTATTGAGGACTATTATTACAATGCCATGTCTTGTATTCCCTGAACCAACAAGACGTCCATTCTCTTCCCACATGGGGCCAAACTGTTGAAAACCAAAGTACACCACTTCAAATTCCCTGCATCACAGTTTGTCAGGAAACAGAACAGGACTATTTGGGCCTGACATGGTATATTGATAGGAAAAAAAAGTACCTCAGAGGCATAAAAACAATAGGCTTTTGGAATATATTTCTGATCCCTGCAGTTTGCTGGTCTCTTTAAAAGAAAACTATACATGGTGAACAGCTGAAATTTAAGTTATTTAAAAGAGTTCAGATGACAATGCAGAAGAATACAGTATGTCCATTTTCTATTTGGTTTAGAAATGTTCGAATAAGCTTTATATGCATGACTCAAGTCACTTTTATATACTGTATAACTGTTCATAACAAAACATGTTATGATGGTTTGTAGCATCATAATGTACTTTTGTCATTGCTATATTTCATTTTATCTTTCAGTATCCCAAAGCTGGACCCCAGTCAAAACATATGGTTTGGCCCCTGGAGCAAGGTTAGTTACTGCTTATTTGTTTGTTTGTTTATGCTCAGTAGGCCAAACTTTTCCCCCATTGTTCAGGATAAGCCTGAACTTAACTATCACTTTTGTCAGTGCTAATCTTTCCCATTGGGAAAAACAGATGTAAATAGTATCAGTGCAAGAAATCAATATTTCCCTCTTTTTCAACTCTGTCCTTTTAGAGTTTTTCTCTCTCTGCTATTTTCCTCTTTGCTTCTGGTGGCTTGATATCTCCTTTCACAGTGCTCGCTCTCTTAATCTACTCTTTTTAGGGATTAAGAAACAGAAATATTAAAATATTATTATGACACAGTCCAACTGCTAGCTTCCTCAGTTGCTCTGGAAAAAAAGCATACTGTCTCCAAGCTTGCCCTTATAGAATAAATAAACGGATCAATCTAAAATGGATGGATAATGCCAAGTATTGGCTTCTAGGATGAAGTCATGAAGCATCATGGTCTATTGCCAAGAAACAGATATTTTTTTTCCAAAAAAGGCAGGGGGATTTGGAGGCAATAGGGTAAAGACTAAAGAACTTACTAGCAAAGCACAGTCAGGATTACAATGCTAATGTTCCTTCTGGTATTGAGAGCCCTTCAAAGAATGAGACAAGACATTTTTACAGTCACACAATTGCCTGAATGAGTGGTCCTGACAGGGCTGAGACCGTCTGCCAAGGCATATGACTAATGCAAATAAAGAATACAGAAGAAGGACTGAGACAGTTCACGTGTTCCTCTTAATATTTGGCAAATACCCAGTTATGATAGCAAAGTGACTATCCAGCTACTCTTGGATCAGATAGCCAGTCTGGGAACTCTGGCCAGGACTATCTGAAAGAAAACAACACATTTCTAAGCCTTACCATTTTTAACACCTAGCTTGCTTTTAGAAGACAATAACCAAGAGAAAATTAAATGGCTGCTGAAATAATCCAGGCTGCAAAAATAAAACTGTACATTTCTCAGTATTACAAAAATCTTCTGCATTTCTACCTCACTGGATACCAAGCCTTTAATCCAGATGTTCTCCCTTATTTCCAATTATTACTGGATCTGATGGTATTTCTATCCTAATCACTGGCAGGTCAGATATTTAATTGTTCATTATTTATTTAAAATATTTTTACTGCACTTTTCCCTTTAAAAAGGACCCAAGGCAGCTTACATCAGTAAAAGACAATGTTTAAAATAGAAAGTATACAAATATTTTAAAAAGAACAAATAAATACCATACTAAAACAGTAAGCAAAATCAACAAGGAAAAATACATTCAAAGCTGTAAGGGACAAACATATATTTTGAAAAGCCTCTCAGGCAGCTTTTCACTCAGGGAAAGCCTGCCTGAAGAGAAAGGTCTTTGTTTGCTTGCGGAATGACAGCAAATATGTCATTTCCAGCCTGGCCTCCCATGGGAGAGAATTCCAGAATCTGGAAGCAGTGCCAGAGGAAGCCCTCTCCTATGTTTCTACCAGACCCACTTGTGAAGGTGGTGGTGACAAAGAGAAAGACCTCTCCTGAATATCTTAACACCTGAGCAGCCTCATAAAGGGAGACATGGTCCTTGAGAAAGCTGGGACCCAAGCCATTTAGGGCTTCATAGGTAAAAGCTCTTATGAATACAGAAATACGAACTCTAAATTGCCATCTCATGCAGTAAAAAGGAACTTATGCACTAAACTGACACATTTTTTCTATAAAAACAAAGGATAATATAATGGTAACCTGACTGCAAGAGATATCTACAATTGTTAAGGAACACTATGAAGAATTGTATGAATCATAAATAACATCAGATATAGATACAAAAAAATTCTAAGCTCATTATCAGTTACTCATCTCTGAAGAGCTTAAGTCCCCAATAACTCTTAGTGAAATAAAAACAGCACTTAAAAATCTAAGAAAAGGGTACAGTGGCTTTGCAGCTGGTTTTTATAAGATATAGAAAGATGATGTTGCCACATAACTTTTTGTGGGAAACTTCTGCCTAAAGGTTGTAGCTTGCATTCTGTTCCAGTGACGTGCACACACTCCTGGCAGGAGCAGCAGCTGCCTCATTCTGCCCTTTCGCTTAGAGGTAGAGCATTAGATCAAAGAGTTTTCTCAGCCAATCCTGGCTACGATTAGGTAACTGGTATCCTATCTGAATCCTCACAACATACTATGTAACTCATGCTAAGTCAATAAAGGGAGCTCTCAGGGCGTTACCTTGAGGCTCCGCTGGCTCGGACATCTGCTTGTCAACCTCCTGCACTTTCTCTGAAGGCTAAGTGCCTTCCTTTGTTCCATGATCGCCCACACCTTTTAAAAATGTATAATTGAAAACTAGCTGGAGGGGAGGTATCTGAGTCCTGGAAAATAGCTAGAATCCCAAAATCAGAAAAAGACCCTGATCTTTGCATGTAGGCCAATTATTTTACAAAACCAAAACCCAAACAATATGGCTTTATGCCAAGTAAGCAAATGTCTGATACAATACACAAAGCATATATAACTGTGTTAAAGAAACAAAATGGCAATACTTTCACCTCATGCGCTTGAAGCCTTTGATTGTGTGGAATGAAGGTGATGCATTTATGACCCTATGGAGAAGGTGAATGTGAGAGAAATATTTGCTACAGTTCTTTAAGAAAACCATATGAAGGTGTGCATGCTATTCCATTCTATTAATGGAATAGAATCTGAGATGTTTGAGTTGCATAGAGGGACAAAATAGACTGCAGTGTCATTAATTAAAGTGCCTAGAGGTTTTTGAAGACCTCTGATACCTGAACCATGCATTGGTGGGTTTTTTGTTGTTGTTGTTGCTGTTGTTTTACCTACATTTGGTAGATTGCAGCCTAGGCATTTGCATTCACTAGCTGAAATCTAGTTGCCTAGCATAGTAAGTTGCAACTAGAGTAGGCCCATTGAATCAGTGGGGATTGATGAGTCAATTTGCCTGTACATTCCATTGATTCAGTGGGCTTACTCTGGTTGTGATTTTCTATGCTTACCAACAGGATTTCAGCCACTGATGTCCTGACTAAGGGACATGCAGATGATGTTCTGTTTAATATAATAATATTGGTCACTTTGCCCTTAAAGGTGACTGTCTTTCTGAGAATCACATGAGTTGTGTACAGATCTGAAGGTTGTCAGGATAGTATCAGAGGAAGCTTGTTGGTAAATGTGGACAGATTTTCCTAGGTGCCCTGTTGTAGGTAGGAGGTGCTGGATGAAAACTCCACCACAAATAGAATTGATTATTCATTGTTACTTGAATAATAACTCTGACAGAGAACATTTTTCCCTTGAAAAGATGGTGCTTACTTGACAGAATCAATGATACACAAAAAATATCCTGTATGAAGCTAGTCATTCTCAGTTTACAGATTCTTTTTTTTTTTGTTTTGTTTTTTTTTGGTGTTGAAAATGTTTCCGATTGAGAACCAAGCAATATGTAATTTTATGCCTTATATGTTTGGGGTACCAGGATTTCAAGATTAACTATAAGTGAACATCAATGGGTATAGTAAAAAGATAAGCAACAATTTTGTTGTTTTCAGTAACAAAGAAATCATGAAGGAAAGCCTTGTGTATATTTTTGAGTGATGCTGATAGATGTAAACTTGTTAGATGAATAAATTAACATAATATTTTAAAAAATTCTAGGCTTTCCTTGCCAATCATACATCCCAGTCTTAAGGTACCTTAAAGACATCTCTAATAGGGCAGATCTACGGCATCAAAATGGACACTGGAGATTTGACAAGTTACAGTGGTCATCTGTGGTTTTTTGAAATATTTATTACAGATAGTTATAAAAAATCTGAAATAACACTTGTTCAGATATCTGCTTTATCAAGATAGATTTAACATTTTCTCAAATATTAGCTTCTATCCATATAAGGCTTTGAACTGTCATTCTCACATTTTTTTTCAATGTTATATACGAAGAATATGCTAATGTAGCAAATGATGTGGTGATTTTTTTTAATTAAGCAACTGGTAGAAATATTTAGAACTAGAGATGGGCACAAACTGCTGAATGGGCAGTTTCTGCTAGTTCATCCTTTGGACAAATGTGTTTTTAGTACTTTCCATCCCTGCCTCCTCTGGCAGGCGCCCACTCAGAGGGAACGCCTGGAGGAGGCAGGGCAAGGAAACCAGGACTCTGCCATTTTGGGAAGAGAGGAGCCAATGCAAGATCTCATGATATACAACATTAACACATCTTAACAATAACACTCTTAACAATAATCTATACTTGCCCAGAAACTGTTTTTAAAAGGGAAGTAGCACAGAGCAGCTGACAAGCATATTTGTGGGTAGGAAAACGATCTGGAAAAGTAAAAAATCAGAAACATACCTTTGTCAAATGAAGAAAAAGGTAGAAAGAGGGAGGGAGGGAGGAAAATTTGCTGCCGAGGAGTGGAAGAACTGAAAATTGTGGAATGTAACTTGGTGTGGAGAAAGAACACCCTCATAGCATACATTGGGGAATTTGAAAAAACTATCCACCCAGCACAATATTGAATGAGTAGCTGTGTAGGTACCGATGGCCAAAAAAAACAACAACCATGGAATATACTGGTACAAGAGAAGAAACTCATCTCAAAAGGAACAAAAAGTTGCAGAATTTCAAGGGAATGCCTCATATAAAAGAACATAAGAATATAATGTGGATGGGGGGGAGATGAGAAAGGAAACCATGACTCTAACTGATGTAAAGAGGACATCTGGAAGAGCTCTAAGTGGTTTTCACTTGATCAATTGCCTCCAGTGATCCCACCATAAAGTGTGTTAAACCCAGGTTATGAAAACTTACAAAATTATTTTTTGCTCAGAGTACAGAGAAATATTCTTTGCTTATTAATTCTCTGGAGTATGCATAGATGCCTCAAATTGACAAATTACACCCAACTTAAAACCATTACAGAACACAAAGCTGAAGCACAAAATGCAAGTATGACAAATTAGTAGCTGTTTTCCCTTATCCTCAAAAAATTCTGA